TGGGGTGGTGGAAACAGAGTGGTTACACTCATTTCTCAAAGTTTTTAAATATTAAAAAAAATTGTATCTAATGAACAGTTCCCGAGTATTTCGTCAAACACCATTTTTGTGTCTTAGAAAAATTTAAAAAAAATATCAAACATTTGCTTTCCTCCGGAGTCTGACTTTAAATAAAAATAGACCCACTCTACCGAAGTACAGCAGGTACTGTGCATTAACAATATAATAACTCAATTTTTACCCGGTCTTGTCAGAAAATCAATTAACATTTTGCAGCCAAACTACAAACTACCAGTACACGTTCCAGAAGTTAAGAAGCCGCTGCTCGCACAGCCCGCTGACGAAATGAACTGCTCTTCCAGGAGTCAACGCAAAGTATTAAGTATAACTGTCTCTAAACAACTTTTAATCACTTGTGAGAGTTGCTAATCTAGACCGTATATAAATATTTGTTCAATTCAAATTATACTTGTTAGCGCATTGTATTGTTCCAAGGTTGTCGGAGTCATCTAAAATCGCCGCTAATGTCCCGTATTGATCTGATCGACGACCCTTCTCTTTCAATTTATATTGTAATCGGTGAAAAGCAAGGACTTGCTAATGTCACCTAATCAAGGGGCCACGAAGTTACTTACTAAACAATTTGTAATGCATTTAGCTCATTACTTAGATTAGACGTTCATACAAAGAAAACAATTCCATGGCCGATATGCTAACTATTTTAGGAATTATTTTTTACGCATCATTCCAATGTGTATACTGATTCTTACTTCTCAAAAAAGGAGTTTAAAATTCTTCACTGGTCTTAATTTTACAGCACTCTTGAGGCATATATTTTCTCTCTCATTATAATTATACTATATAAATAACATACCGTCGGGCTGCTCTAACTTAAAGTAAAGACACGTTTTGACGCAAAATTTAGAAACACGCAACGTTTTTCAACTGAGACACTGAGAATTAGACGCGTAACTAACAAACAAGGATGAGAAAATATGTTAATGATGTTGAGATGCAAATGAAATAATTTGTATAGGCCCTCGCTAATTAAAATGCAATATCAACAATTCTTCATAAAGAAGAAATGCACATTTGCTTAGTTTACCATACTTGCCATTTTGATGGGCCTATTTAATTATTTATCATTAATAAAAAAAAAAAACCCTTTAAAACCCATCTATTGAAAGATTAAAAAAGAGCAGTTATTTGGCTGTCGAAAAGAATTGACGAAGCCATCAAGTGACGCCATTCTTTTTCAGAGCAGTAAAATAAAGTAATCTACCTTATCACTTTGTCGGCTGAATCGCCTTGATGAAGGCCAAAAGAACAGCCAATAATGTTACATAGAACATAGCTTATTTGCTCTAATACGAGAAAATAGAAAGAAAAGTATACAATTGATTGTGAGCTTCTTCCGACTGATGCCTTAATTATCCGGCAACTAAACCCAAGGTTGGCCACGGCGGTGGCTTAGAGAAACAAACACAACTTGCATAAAGTTAATAATCGTTAATCGATGGGTACATTTCTTTAAGCGTTTTTTGTTCTCTGAAGTTTATTTTTTCGACATTTCACCATGGACCAGCAGCCGATCTAAAAAGCGGAACATTAGATATTAATGAGTGTTAATGAGTTGATAATTTCAATGCTCCCCACACCATACCAGCCTTCACTTTAATCAACATAAACCGCTTTTCAATATCCTAAAATAATTGCGATACCCATTCGGTAAATCGCTTCTTGGAGATGATTAGAAAGTGCTTAGAATTCTATTAACACTCAAATATACGGTAATTGGGCTTTGACCTTTGCTGAAACGTACAAGCCCAGAATAAGATTCGTAGTCGTAAATGATATGGATTTAGTGGATAATTAATATTTTTAATTGTTTACGAATTTGATTTTTTGGGGGTCGTGCACAAGATGTACGTGTATGATAAGATTTTTGTCCTTAATATTTTAAATATTTCTGTTCTCTCCTAGTACCGTATTTGCTTTTTCATCTGCATCAGTAGGGATATGTTTTAATCATGACAAATAAAGTGATCTTATGTCAATACGGTACTCTGTGGAGTAAAATCTAATAAACGCTAGAAAAAAAAAACCAATTTAAACTTTGAATGGACCGTTTAGAACTGGTTAATGTTAAGGCCAATAATACAGGGCGGATTTGGGGGGGGGCGGCCCGGCCCCGGCCCCCTCTTTTGGGAGGTAAAAAAAAAGAAGAAAAAAGAAAAAAAGAAAGAAAAAAAAAAAGAAAAAAATGATAGCCCACAACGCCTCAAATGTTATTTTCGGGCGTCTAGAACATAAGAAATTTCGCCCCCTGAGTCATTGTTGTCTCGATCGGCCCAAATTTCGCCCCCCCCCCCTTTGGACATCTCTGGATCCGCCCCTGTAATACAACCACGTAGGCCGCCCAAAACTATTTTTATAATATTACTATGGTAGTCACGAAAATGTGTAATTTGTTGCTATTGAAATGGGAAGTAATTATAAACTTTTTACCGTAATGTTTATATTTTCTATTAATTGGTCTAGAAGTAGGCTTATGACTAAATCTGACATTCAAAGAATACACACATAACATTGGAAAATTATTTATAGGACTACATACTTGCGGGAAATACAAGTACCTCGGCGCTTAAACATTTTTGGAGGTTCAGTGTAGCTATCCAAGCGGAGCACACATTTGAGAGCGGCGCTAATTACAATTATTGGATTATTAACGTATTACAACGTTGTTCTTAGGCTTATCTGACGTAGGCCTCTGAAATCGGTTGTTTATAACGATGATACAAAATCAAGTCAAGTTGGATAAATATAATATTCACGATTAACAACCTAAAAAACTGTTTTAAGGAGTGGGAATTTTATCTCACTGATCTGGCAGGTAGACATTATTGGTTACTAAGTACTGTACTTTGCTAAACCATTTAATTAAGTCGCATGGCTTCAAAGGCGGCAACAAACAAAACAGAAACTATTTGCTCACTGCAATTTAAGTGGGATTAATTAATTTAGATTGGTTTGGTGAATGGGTACGGATCGTCCACCTATTTAGAAAAACTCATCATTGATCAGTCCGATATACAATTTACACACTGCCTGATGAAGATAGTGCCCTTACAACAAAAGCAGTGCCCATGTAATTAAGCGACATGCATACCATTTCAGGTGCATTGATATATAATCAATCTCGGACCATTATCTTTTAAAGCAAAAACTACAACGGTTATTTTAAATAATCATCCAAATTTGAGGAAAAATAATTTAGAAAATTGGTTGAAAGTTGCACACAATTAACATAAAATGAATACGTTGAAATATTAAATTTATTTTAATAAACCTGATTACAAATAAACAAATCAATCTAATTCAAACAGATACACATTTTTAAACACAGAATATATTGCTTTCAGTAACCGTATTAAAAAACCCATCAATACGACATTGGTATCCACGAACAACACCGTAAACGCGAGATGTGCGCGCAAAGGATCGTTTTCTTGACAAACCATTCAATCTGCCGTCGACAAACAGCAAAAGAATAAACAAACAATAATTATATACCGTAAATAATAAAAACGATGTCTACGGAACTGATGATGTTCTTCATTTATAAAAGCATTAGGTAAAATATAAAATACTTGTGATTATTGTGTCGAAGAAGTATGATTTCACTTGACGGAAAGTAACAAAAATAAAGTTGAATAAAAGTTAGGTTATTTCTACAGTTCATGGAACTTGATATTGCATCATCTCGATTTAGTGTAAATTTTAGTGTAATTATTACAAATCAGTTTTTAACAAAATACCTAGTGGCGTGACGAATTTGGCAAATATTTTCTTATCGAAGTATAAAATTGTGCAAATAATATTTATGTAAATAAATGAGATTTGATAAATAATGTGGCCTATGTGCATGATACATATAAAAAAAAAACAAGTAAAGAAGCCAAAAAGAAATTATCTCAGCCGCTATAGAGTAGGGCCTATCATAACTGACAATCCCAGGGCCTGATTTTTATACTGGTCTAAAATAGTAATTTAGAAGAAATTCTGCAGCCTACACTTTTAAATTCTTGGCTGTTGAATAATTAGGACTCCAATAGTTGCACCAATACTATTCTCTTGTGAACATATCGAGATTAGAGCTTAATGAACACCAAACTGATTGATAAATTAAAGCTTCATTTTAATTATAATGCAACTGATTTCTTCTCAGAAATGTCATAATAGGCTACAGTGCTTTCTTGCTCCAGCCAATTGGCATTGTTGAAAAACACATTAGCAACGAAGGAGAAAACTTCCCAGCTGTTGTACATTAGGTCCATTAGACTTTAAGTTAAGAAAATAATTAAAATGTCAGTAATTTGATCTTCCTACTTCCTCCGATTTGCCAAATTATAATATACAGACGATTTGTTTCTTTTTCAAACATATTATTTAGTCACGTGGTTTCCTTAAACTCTCAGGGTTTGATTTAGGAAACTGACTCAGTGCAGAAACTTCCGTTGTACTTGAATAATATTACAATCCTCTGCATTGGGGAATACAGTCTCATAAATATTATATTTGAATCATTTACTAACATACACAAAGGTATTGGTATGTTAAACATTTTGATTACTTACGGAAAAAAAAACTGTTGATATGATTTTAACAAGCGCATCGCGTCAACGATTGGTACATACCATATTAGGTCTACAAGAACTTCATGCTATGTTCCTCTAACGTTTCAAGTTTGAAAGTCAAACGTTGATCTATAGCTAGAGGTCTACATAATCGTTCCTATTACAAAAAAAAATCTCAATTCAAGTAATAGGCCTAATATCATTAAATGAATTATTAACACACACAGCATATTTGTTGATTTTCAAGTCACTTAGCTTTCGTCAACCTGTCTATTTACTAATTCACCTTATCCACTGTTCCTCTTCAGCATCTTCGTTCTTCATCTAAAAATCTCTTGAGAGTTCCGCCTCGTAAATGCAACAAAACTTATGGTCAATGTGCCTATATTTTTTAAAGCTCTAATTTGTTTTTTTTAAAGAAAAATCTTAAAACCTTTTTATTACAGGAATGCCAACTTGCCTTATTACCTCACTTAGCGCCTTGATAAATTTTGAATTGGCGCTATTGTTATTATTATTAATGGTTTTGTTTGATTATGTTCAATTGCTGATTGATATACAAGAATAGGTCTACTACAATAAATGAAGTTCAATAAATCGTAAAATATAAACACATACTATCTTAAAAAAATGACTTTTTAATCATTATTGTGTCCTAATTCTTGTTTTTCATACAAGATAGCTAAAAATATACCCCATAAACTATCATAAAATATACATTTTTTATCATTAACCAATTCACTTTAACAAATATTTCGTTGTGACTTATCGCACCACAAAATGGTTGTTGTTTGTTATCTCTTCCATATAGTAATTATTGTAATTTTACTGCATTTTATCATAAACTATCATAAAATATACATTTTAAATCATTAACCAATTCACTTTAACAAATAATTCGTTGTGACTTATCGCACCACAAAATGGTTGTTGTTTGTTATCTCTTCCATATTGTAATAATTGTATTTTACTGCATTTTATCATAAACTATCATAAAATATACATTTTAAATCATTAACAAATTCACTTTAACAAATAATTCGTTGTGACTTATCGCGCCACAAAATGGTTGTTGTTTGTTATCTCTTCCATATTGTAATTATTGTATTTTACTGCATTTTATAATAAACTATCATAAAATATATATTTTAAATCATTAACCAATTCACTTTAACAAATAATTCGTTGTGACTTATCGCACCACAAAATGGTTGTTGTTTGTTATCTCTTCCATATTTTAATTATTGTATTTTACTGCATTTTATCATTGTTTTAATATTTTTATTGCCAATTGTATTATATTATTGCGAATACCAATTTTCCTTTTTTGGAACAATAAAGTTTATCTTATCTTAAAATAACTAAGAGGACATTTAAATATTCTAGAAAATGTGTGGTGATCATATTATATCACTACATAGGCTATCACAACTAATTGTATTACATTAAAAAAATATTTAGAAATTTATTCACTATTAGGCCTATTCATCAAATTTATAAACAAATTGGAACATACAGTATTACTAAATGGTAAACTCTGTTAAGATTTATACAACATAACTCTTCATGGTCATTCATTTGTTATAACTGTATGATACATTTTACTTTTATTCGTTAGTATTACAAAATATCTATTCATTCATCCCGTATTACAAAAAAGTTGAGATAATCAATAGTTATGCCGACATTATCAAGAAACATTTCCAGCCATAAATAGACGTGGGTTTAGATTGTTGGGCATAGATGCCTAAATATTAAATGACAAAATAAAAAAAACTTGTTTGTGTTTGGTTTAAGAGCGTATAAAATCAATTGTATTGTACAAGACTCTAAACACAGAGGGCGTTTTAACCTCGATATTACTTTTAGTTCAGATCAACTGAAGTAACGTACATGTATCATGATGTTAAATTCTTAAATACCGGTAATTAATTATTATAGTTTAAATACTGGTTTTCTTAATAGTCAAGCTTTTATATGAATCCAATTTACAAATGCAAACCGTCTAAATGATACATTAAATGACAACATCATTATTTTGTGGTATATTTCTTCAACAAAACCTTTACGAAAGGACATTTTACTTGCATAATTGTACGAGATAAAAAAAAATCAAATGTATAATGAACGATATTACTCATTCTTTAAATAATCTCTATCAATGGATACCATAATAGGTCCATGGTAGGAGGTTAAAATCCAAAACTAATAACTATCATAATGTAATCATAATCCATAAGAAGTTTTAATAGCAACCAGTAAATATAAAATTTAAACTTGTTAAACAGTACCGTCACAAACATTTTAGTATACCGTTTAATTGATGTGTGTTTTCAAACTTTTTTCCCTGCGATGCATTTTTGCACTTACAGCTGTAATTTCCTTTAAAACAAAATAAAGAATTCTGAATGTGATTTCAGGTTTGAAGTGTTGGTTCTGATAAGATCTTGAAAACAAATATAAATGAATATTTGTGTGGAAATCTCTTCTTGTAGTTCTAATGAATGCTGCAATTGCATAGTCTTCCAGCACTTCATATATAGCCGATGAACTGAAATTGTATAGGCCTTGATACTCAAATCGCTAACGAAAAGGCTCAACCTAACAGATGCAGTACGGTATATGAAGTTGAATGTAAATATGGTAGGCCTATCTATTATGGAAATAATTTAGGATATTGAGCTCCTTTTTGAGGTGTTTTGGTTTACCATTTTGTATTAGTATGCAGTATTTGTACATGTTAAAAGTAAATTCCGCTGGTGAATATCAGAAATTATTTATAATGATATAAAAAAATACCATGTAGCACTGACGATGTGGAGAGGGCGTTGTTTATTTTCCTCCCATTTTCATGAGAGATGACTGTTGAGATTTTCTTCTTGAATATCTGATCAACACCAAAGCCAAGATAACCACAATTGCAACAACTAATAAAACAAACACGACGATAACTGCTGGGTGAAGAGAGTTTTTCTCAACTTTAAATGGCGACAGCACTGTTGGTTGAATTGTTGAAGTGGTCACGATCTGGTTTAGGATTCTGATCGCCATAGAAGCGCCCTCACTTACTCGGTTGTCTGCAGTTTTAGCTTGACATTCTAGAATTGAGTTGTTGTGCTCCGCTTCCAAATTGATAATAGTTAAAACGCGATTATTATCCTTAAGTAGATAGCGTCTGCTCATTAATATTTGAATATCAACTTTAGGCCACGCGTATTCCACATTTGGCGCTCCTGAATGTTCGGTACATAAAAAAGTAGCGTTGTCTCCTACCTTATAAAATGGTGCATTAGCACGAATTGTTACGCTTAGTGGGTGAGGGAGAGGTGTTATAGTACAGAACGGACCAGTTGGATATAGGCTAGAAATAGCCCTGCACATGAACGAGGCACCTACATCAGACTGTCGCATTTGCTTATCAAAGGTTAAAAACGATGTTCCTATCTGCTTCGCTAACTCTCTGCCATTGCTTTCCCAGATCAACGTTGGAGCAGAAACTCCGCCGGATGCAGAACATTTTAAGGTTACTGTATCTCCAAGCTGTGATGTTTTTGGTTGCGCATCACAAACAGGGGCACCTTCCATCGGTACATCGACCGTAATTGTGGCTCCTGCAAGTCTTATAAATGACTGCCTTGAATCAGTGTATCCACACTCATAGCTTCCTCCGTCGATGGCTTTTAAATCTACAATTTTTAGATGAAAATCTCGCTTTTGATTGTTCCAAATCACAGAATATCTTCGTCGCAAATCGGGTTCGGTTACATAGAGCAAATGGTTTACGCTGACAAATTTTTCCCCAAGATCTACATGTTTCCAAACAATTGACTCTCCCGCTTGTATTGACGACACACTACATTCTAATGTTACCGTTTGTCCCTGAGTCACTCTTTGACTTGTTGGTCCCTTTACCAACTGCACAGCAGATGAAAAACTTGCTAAACAAATAAATAAAAAGGAAACTTTGGCCGAGATGGTGCGCCTCATCTTGTTACTTTTTTGTTCGATCGTGCCTTGAAATCGAAAGACCTGACTGGATGACAAACACTCGAGTATCTCACTTTTATATCCGTGCTACTTCCCGTCTAAGTTAACCAATAAAATTCAGCCAACCAGCTCTAGTAGACCTAATAAATAACTTGCCAATACCTTCAAGTAGATGTGGAAAACATAATCATTTTAAATAGCAAACGTAGTTCGGAACTTTCGTAAAGTCAAGGAGAAAACGTATTTGTCTTCACCTTAATATGATTAAAAATGCGTTTTTCTTTCAGAAACTAGTTTGTAAAAATAAAAACGTCTATTGATATTGTTTAAATACATTTAACTAATATGATTATGTATAGGCCTATTACGATATATTAGTCCCGGTTTCAGCAATGCCATAGGCCTATACTACTTTTATAATTACTTATATTTTCTTTCAGTAACAATTAACAAGGTCTTGACGAACATGACTCATAACTTCTTATTAGTACCAGATTTTCAGTCATAATCCAACATTGAGCCACAAAGTTAGGCCACTACAATTGCTTATCCCTTCATAAATCCATCGCTGATTTGATTATCATGAGTGATGAATCAATTGTAACCGTTTTGTTAGCTCAGATGAGGAGCTCTAGAAACACCGGTTGATTGATTAATCCGATTGATTAATAGATCTTGTTTGTATGGGCGGCCGTTAGAGGTCTAGAAACACTCGACGGATTGATTTAAGGTCCATCTAAAATGATATATTCTAGTTACTTTTAAAATATCATAAAACAATAAAGAATTATATAATAAACATATCGGTGGCTTTCCTTTTATTTTTAGATAACGTGATTTTCTGAAAAAAAGTTTTAAATCACCTATTTTAATTAATTCTGTATCGCTAAGCTCCGCCTTATGAATCTGACCCACATTTGACCTTTACCGGATATGACATACAATCGGTATACAACAACAAGATGATCGCGGGATCGCGACTCTTGGCAACACAAACGGGTTTACGATATTCTTAGTTAAGGCCTAGGGTAATCATACGCTGGAAATTCGGAGACTAATTATTAAGTAAACATTCAAAACACATTAGCAGCCCTCCTCGAAATTAGCGTCGGCATCACGTTATGACCACAAACATAACGTAAGAAGAGCGAGGATGCGAGTAGGCCTACAAGGCCCTATTCTCTGCATCCACCCCATACCACCGAGCCCGTACTCGCTACATACAAATGTGTTTGAATAAAACATTAAAACTATTTGTTTTGACTTACTTTATTCATGATGATTATCTTACACAAAATAATTCACCACTAAACACTTCTTGACAAAAATGAAAAATTACGACTTTGTCACCCAATGAGAAGTGTTCTAATATAGACAATGGGTCGTGTCTCACATTATTTGTTATATTTTTATTATTCATTATTTTCACTTGATCGCATAAATAATTTGGTTCGAAGAACATTTATATGCAGTACTTCGCAGCACTTCACTTGCAATTTGCAATTTCTAGTCTAGGTACTGTGTTCAACATTGACTTAGTGAGTACGGTAAACAATAGTCGGTCTCTTTTTGAAACTAAAGAAGGGAAAATATTTCAGTTGGAGGCAAAATACAGATGTATGCCCACTCAAACTTCTTGTATGATACTACTCTCATATATGATTCACCTGTCAACCTTTCTAAAAGAACGAGTGATGAGACACTGGTGTGTCTATGACGACTTTGGTTTAAAATCCTGTCAAGAAGAACTGCAAACTTTGATGAACATGAAAAGTTGTGTTTTTATTCCATTCGCATCCAACTGCAATCGGACACCAAACAGCTGTTGGTGTAGTACGCGAACAGTGTCTTGGCGTTGCCGTCACGGTCCATTAGTTCGTAGTAGACTGGCCGCGTAGTCAAAACGAAAAATGCTTGACTTAGTGAGTACGGTAAACAATAGTCGGTCTCTTTTTGAAACTAAAGAAGGGAAAATATTTCAGTTGGAGGCAAAATACAGATGTATGCCCACTCAAACTTCTTGTATGATACTACTCTCATATATGATTCACCTGTCAACCTTTCTAAAAGAACGAGTGATGAGACACTGGTGTGTCTATGACGACTTTGGTTTAAAATCCTGTCAAGAAGAACTGCAAACTTTGATGAACATGAAAAGTTGTGTTTTTATTCCATTCGCATCCAACTGCAATCGGACACCAACGCATCCAACTCCAATTATATGATGGATGATGCTTTATAGGTAGGTCTACGATCAAAACCAATCAAAATTCAATATGTGCCACTTACCTACATAATCGGACACCAACGACGTATAAAAATACAGAAATCTGCAGCAAATGGTGCTTTTGAATAAAGTATTAGGCCCTATTTACCGACAGAAAGATCAATCTAGAGACTAAAAAATAACCTGTTTCTCAATGGTCTGATAGGTCTACCGCGACTTGTCATGCCCGGTGGCAACAGCAAGCGGGATGTAAACACAGCGCAACATACAATACATTTTTTAGTATTGCGCTAGTGCAGATCAAATCAAATCAAATCCATTTTATTGCAATCTGACAAGATAAAATATCATCTTCACCAAATTGAAGTTTAACAATATTAAAACATCAATTATTATTAAAACAGCAATTGTTTAAACAATACATAAAAAATATATATAAAAAGTAATTCTTAAGAAGTTGTCACCGAGCGGCGCACCCGAATATTACCACTAATTAAAAATACCATGGTTGATAATAAATTTCTTGGATCTCTCTGTCTTTAACTTTGGGATAGGAAACCGATTTGTTTTCCTGAGGTTATAGGTGATGGTACGTTCAGTTGGCAAGAGATGGTATAGTCTGTGAGAGGGACATTTAATTTTTTCCAAAATATTGTTGGCATAATCGGGTGCGGCGTTCAGCGAGAACGAGAAGACCAGAGATTTCAAGGGCCCGATTATAAATAACCCCAGGGAGGCTGATGCGAAGCGCTCTTCTTTGAATTTGTTCAAGGGCTTTGGACTGAGCACCAGATATGCAAGTGCCCCAAACAGGGAGAGCATACTCCAAAACAGGGCGAATAATACTGACGTAGAATTGGGCAAGTTCACTTACCCCCAGCCCTGCTCTACGTAGTTGTTAGCTTCGAATGCGTCACAATGGATAATACTATGCTGTAGTAGTGGAATTTTTCCGTAAAATTGAATGTGTTAAAGTTCATTTAACAAGCATGTCAATTACAGATGTGAATGTAGTTTTATCAGGGAGTTGGTAATGGTCCTACGTTTTAACTGATGACCAATGGCTGGTAGCACCTTGTCCGATAATGGACTACGGTATGTTTAGAGTAATTTTGACCTTTTTGAACTTAGATGTAGTATTGTCAACAAACAATACAGTAGGCCCTACCTGTAAAACACTAGGTCCCAGACGGGTGGACCGATGTTACAGACGATTTTTAAAAAGTGGGCGTGGTCGGGCTTCGCTCGAATTATTTCGAAAGTGATCCAGGGGGCGACCTGTTTGCCTTATCGTGGTACAGTATGGGAAAACACTGATAGAATTATAGTTTGCTAATTTGTGAGATCCACGATGTCCCATGACTCACAACAAGAACTATGCACTGTAAGAGGCGTTTATCGGTGATCTGATTAAGTGAGAGGAAGAAGGAGGCTTGCCAAGAAGACAATTACAGTCTAATATTAGTGCCAAACGATTAAGAAATTGAACGTGATTCACAAAAGTGGGAAGTATGTCAACCACATTTCTTTCATTAATTTATTTAAATTATAAACAGAGCCTATTCAAATGCAGATTAGTAATCTATATATAAACTATACTTTGTTTCGTTAATATATACGTTTAATTATTATTATTACAATGAAAATTTATTGAGCTCCATAACTGACTGAGATACAGTATTAATGGCGCTGTGCATATTATTGGTGTAAAAATACTTTTGAGCAATTTCTTAAATGAACCAACGAAAAGAAAAAGGCTGCGAGTGAATTTCCAATGGAGTAAAACAGTATTATTGATTGAAAGGCATTAAAGGTAAGTCGGCCTACAAAAATTGTTGATGATATATAATTATGGTTTCCCATTGAATTCGCATACACATGGTCTATAAATTGTCTATGTTCCCGATTAACTTATATGCATTTCCTGTATAGTTTCGCCTTGGGCCTATCTTACGTATGACGTGCCTTGTTAATGATACTAGCCTATCCTATTCACATGCAAAATAGGCCCCCTTATCACGAGAGTATGACAACTTCGTCTACATATCCGGAAAAATTATTAACATGTGCTCGAAACGTCTCTATAGACTGACCTTATTAATCAACAAGATCGTGATTTTGAATAGATCCCGCCCACATCACTTTTATCAAAATACCAGAATGTTGTTGTGTAGGCCTACATCTTGACTTTATCCATTTTGACATGGGTGATATTGTTATTAACGAGTTTGTACATGCAATGATTCAGAGTCTGTCCGATGCCGATCGAATAATTGCGTAAATTACCCCGATTACTGTAAAAAATGCACTAGCGGCACACTCGGAAGCTGGCGACATGCGAAGCCCCAACACCACCTCTACCATCCTCCATCCGCTTGAGTTGCCCCATTTATAAATACCAAGATATGTTTTATATATATAAAACAGAAAAACAGAAAAAAAAACAAAAACAAAAAAAAAACAAAACAAAAAAATGAATAAACAATGAATAATAATATTTTAAAAATTTTACGCATGAGTTCCAAAAATAATCATTTAAAGCAAATATACTATAGTATGCGCCTGCCTACAGAAGACTACAATAGTTACATTAAACTTAAAACATGAAGTAAATTAAAGATGTATTTTCCCTTGATAATGTCAAAAAATCATAAAAAATAATTTTGAAATAAACTTGCTCATATATTGCATTAGGATACAAATTATTAGCTTGTGCATAAAAATGATTGAATTAAAAAAAATGTGCACCCTGATTTTTAAACTAAAAAATTATAATAGAAATAATAAAACACTACTAGTGACTGGAAGTGTTTCTATCATTTCCGCTGTAAACTGATTGTAGCCTCGCCTCGCGTGACTACAGGGGTTGTACACGTTCGAACAGACTCACAATTCGTAACAACTTGGTTTTGTAGTTTTAATCATGAAGTCGTTCACTGAAATAATCAATAACAATGAATCAAATATAATCAGCTCAAATAATAACACTTATTCAGCATGGGAAAATCTATTGATGTTATTTTTAATTTTAAATTTGTAAGACATCTATTGTATTCACCTTTTTGTGGTACAGTTATTTATTTAAGTTATTTATTTTACAAATTATGACAGGAATTTTTAAGAAATCCAATCGGGACATGCAAAGTGCGCGACTTTGGAGGCTTTTTGTTGAAAAATAAACAGCATGTTGATTACTTTTAAAATATTTAACAACTTATTTCATTAACAAATATGTTCGAGATTGCATTAACGCAATAAAAATAAAACTTCCTTTAATATTTTAAAATTTATACTACATCAAAACAGAGGGACGGGAAAATGGCACTTTACTGAAGAATGACCCTAATACATTCATTTGTGACGACAAATTAATATAATATAATTACGGTATTAAGATTTAATACATCATTAAAAGGCTTTCTCATTTAAATATTCCAAAAGCAAATCGGTTCATGGGCCGAGTTGTTTCATAGGCCTAGTTGGTTAAGGGCCGAGTTGGTGTATAAGCCAAGTTGAATAATGGCCGAGTCGGTTAAGGGCCGAGCTGTGACAAGGGCCGAGTTGGTGTATGGGCCGAGTTGGTTGTATGCCGAGTCAGATAAGGGCCGAGATAATGTATGTTCCGAGTCGGTTATGGACCGAGTCACTGTCGGTTAGGGCCGAGTCGGTTAGGGGCCGAGTCGGTATGGTCCGAGTTGGCGAATGGCCGAGTTGACCTGCACCCCCTACGGCTGTACCTGAAATTGCATGGCCATGAGCTTCTGACAGTGGATTATATCTCGCATGTATACAAATATTTCAAACAGTTCCTATCAATGCAAGGAATTTTATTTATTTTATTCAAAACATATTTAGGCAGGATAATTACAATATGGTTCTGCAATAATTGCATTATTGTTGGGGGAAATTCTCCCGACGAGGGGGCCAAGATTTCCCCGACGAGCGCAAGATGGCCGTGGTTGAGTGTTGCTCAAAATGTTTCGAAAGTTGTCCAAAAGGTGGGTGGGACAATTTAGGGGTTTCAAAGGCTTGTTTAATCGATTTTAGAGTCTGCTAATTATAGTGTACAAAATACATTTATTTTTTTTTCTCCCCGACGAATTGTGTTATTTCTCACGTAGGCCTACCCCTGATCTTACAGAAGAGATTTGTGCTGTAAAAAGTACCGTAAAACCTCGAATAGATTAGAATCCCTTGTTCAAATGTATTCTGGAAGACCAAGTCACCCAATGCATGTTAAAGTTGCCGGACAGAGATTCCAGTGTAGTGGTCGTTTGAGACCACCGGCCTCTCGCACAAATCCCTATCTTTCTTCTCTCCTTCCTACCACATGGTATTGGGCACTGTAATTCTGATTTTAAAAGGTGAAAGCATTTGCTTATTTTATGTGTAGGCCTATTTACGTTGTTGTGATCATGAACTTTTAATTTTTACTGTTATTCTCTGTCATTTGAACATTTTTACCCAGTACAATTTTTAACTTTCTTCTTGTTGCATTTTTAGCTTTTATGTACTACCTTTGCGAGAAATGAAATATTCTTACACTGAAGATGAATAAACTTTTTTAATTTTGAATCTTAAATCATCAAACTACTGGCTACTTTGCAAACTGAAGAGGGGGCTTCAATTCCGAGATGGGCTTCTTCTCAATATTAAGCCCATTGGGCTTCCTTACGAGACAGACAGATAAATCAGGGCGCCATCTATTGGCTGATGTTGGTGTTTGGCACGTATTCATCATCACCGGGAACCAGCCGCTTTTAGCCAATAGAATTTCGAAGAGTGGCTTAGAATTGATCATGTGATTACAGCATATGTGACATCATTTTTCTTCTTGGCTAGGATGATGGGTTCGTCGTGATCGTCGGTGGAATTCAAGGGGAAGTCAACAAAAACAAAGATTTTGTTTTGTTTTGCAGGGTAATGTTACGCAAATAGTATTAACGTTTCTCTGGACCGAAGTAAACAAATCTTCGTTATACATAAATGTATATTGACTACTTGAAAAGAACGTTGAGTTTTGACGAATCCTTTTCCACAGCCTTCCATCAGATCAGAGCTATCCTACTCCTAGGCCTAGACAAGGCCGCCTAACCTTAGAGACTTCATACGTACGGACCGGGACGTGGTTGTTTTGGAAAAGAGCCTATGCCTAGCCCAGGCCTCGCTGTCAAACGCAGTCATTTTAGCAACTTAGCTTCATTATTTCCACGTTGTAGGCCTAGGTTGAACCAAGTTGGGCCCAGCAGAAGATCATAAATATCAGAATAAATTTAACAAACAAAAGAAAAACAAAAACAAACATGAATGAAGGAGCTCAAATTACTGTGGTTGTGAGGGCCCCAGACCAAACCTCTAGTGATTTTGTTATGGAATGTAGTGAGCTCTGGACTGTAAAGAATATGAAGGCTTACATTTCTAAAAGTTATCCATCAAAACCGGTAAGTTGTGGTCACTTCTAAAATAAGTTTAACAATAATAATAACACCAAAATTCAGGTTATAAAGTGTTGTTTACTTTTCTATTGCTGTATTGCTTTTAATAGTTGAATTATTAATAAAAACAATACAGCAATTGATATTGTACAGCAAGGGCAAAATGTAGTGTTTTTAAAGTTTACATTATATTTTATTCATCTAATCATAACGTTTTGAGAACAAAAATAGCGTTGGCAATTTACATTCCAGCCTCGGGGAAATTGTTAAATATTTACAGCAGACCAGTATCTGACTATGCCTAGTCCTTCTGAATTTTTAGTATATTGAACAATTTAAACATTGTAAATCTGCTGTATCCATCTCGGTGTAGGCCTGCTGCACAGATTAGAAGAAGTCCAGAATAAATACAACCATTAGCCATACTATCTATACTAAATGATTAACTCATATCCACTGATATTAAAAAGTACACTTAAATGAAAGCCCCAACTTCTGCATAACATTACAACAAATAAGTGGAGTTATAGCACTTAAAAAATAAAATGCATCATTGTCTCAAATGATTTTTTTTTTTTTATAACAATTAACATTCAATATTTAAATATTACTTCATTTATTTTTTATGATTTAGGACGAAAAGCACCAGAAGATAATCTACTCTGGAAAATTACTTTCAGATAATACAGTTTTAAAAGATATATTCAGGGTGGTAAGTTTGAATCAGTCTTTTTTTTTTTTTTGGTAAAGGTTAACCAAAACCAGAAGGCAGTGGGTATTTAGGATGCCTTGTTTACACCTAATATTTTCGTTATATTTAGTGAGTTGCACTCTAACCCCAACCTCAAGAATGCTAATTCAAGTTATGATAGTATAACAGGCGCGGCGGAAGCATTTATTGATTGGTACAGCGTGAGAATCTCCAATAGCCTGAGCCCCACCATGGTTGGGGCTGAAGTTAGAAAATTTTGTAAAATTTACACATACTTAATTTTGTTAATTAATTTTTTTCTTTTATCATTTGTTTAATCGCACCACAGTAAAATAATACAGTAATAGACTATGAAAGATTGCAGTTACAGATACATATTTTGACTTTAATCAAACGTTACCATCTTGCCAAATATATGAATAATGTACAATTGCCGCAAAACCTACATAAAAAACATGTTTTCTAACTGGAAGGTCAGCCTACATCCCACTGAATTTTCCGAAAATACTCAATCTATGCTCACACCCACTAACAAATTCATTCGAAATCCTGTCGATGTCTAAACCTTCAAGCTTTTCCTTATTGAATGTTCAACATCATTAGGTTATTCAGACATGGTTGAATATTTGAAAACAATCAGGTCCAAATATTGGTACAGCTGCCGCCATACCTGCCGTGCCGGTTCTGCCGCCCCTTGTAAAATGCACACTTAGGGAAAAAAATCATTAGCAGTCATATCTCTATATCCCTGGTTCTTAGTAGGCGACTCATGGGGCAACTTTGGCCCATGAGGCAATTTAATTTGCCTGTGAGGAAAAACAAAATAATACAAAAAATATAATAACATATTAAAATTTTTAAGAATTAATTTTTTTTAAAGTAAAGACAAAAAATCAACCCCTAGGTAACGTGCACTGGAATGGTTTTAAATTGAGCAAAATAATATAGGCCATGAAAAATAAATAGCGCCAAAATCGATCACTGGGTGCTTTCCTTGGTCCTACTTGACTGCCAGACCTTTTTTTAGGTTTTGTCCTGTGTGCCATAATGTACATTTTCTTAAAATGTTATCAGTCACATCAAAATGGTGTGTCTATTAAATTGGCATGGAAATATTAGGGGACCAGTAAACTCGTAGCTGGCTATGGAACAGTACAGTATGGTACTTTCTATTGCCTCAGCCAAGTGCGAGATTTCTTGTCCGCTTTTTGCATGGGTTGGTATACGTTCAGAGGGCACCCCACTCGTGCAATCTGTTGTACTTCCGGCTATATAACACAACAAACATACATATTATTTGCATGTAGTCGTCTCTAGGTGTATTTTGCCCGAAAAGCTGTTAAAGTCTGTGGTTCTACTATGAATAACAATGAAGTAATAAACGCTAGAATGTTAACCCGGTTTTGACGAGTATAGTAAATACTAAATAAAAAAAAAAATATATATATAAAATATAATATAAAGTTTAGTTTAGTGCAATAAAATAGATTTAAAAAATGTTGACATTCCAACATGTTTTGGCAGTTATCTCAGTGTAACACAATTTGCGAGGAGTGACTGGTTTGGCTTACCTGTGCCACATGTATTTTCATTACTAAAAAATACAATTTTGGATGTCTACTATTTTGGCTGATTTCTTTGACGTCAATGCATTGTGAAACCTAATCAGGCTTTGCATAAAAAAAAACCCGCTGTACCATAATATGTAAAATAATAAAATGGTTTGAAATTCAGTTCAGTGAGTACTGTATGTTCACAAATGACCTGACACAGAAAAGTATAATCTCACAATTGAGATAATAGACAAGCAAGGCAGAAAATATTAGCAAACCACACCTTGCATTTAACAAGCGCTTAATTGGTTGGCGTACTCTTATATATCCTGTAATAACTCTGAAATAATCATATGGAAAGAGATAAGCATAAGATTACGTTTATTGTTTGTCATAGAATAGTGGCATCAACATTTATACAGTACAGTACAGTATGTTAACTGAATAAATAAGTAAAGAATATCATTAATTTACATATAGGAAATTGCTAAACCTGCCAGCATAACTTTGGAATATGATGAATGATAGATTTTAATATTGATGATTTAAAATGAATTTTTGAAGGGACTACTAACTGACAAAATTGAAAGATTAAAAAAAAATTGATGAACATTACATAACTAGTTGTGAATAACTTTTCTAATTATTTTTATACGAGCAATTCGGTGTTTTTGTCAAATATTTTAGTATTTTTCAATTTTTACACTAATTTATTTTGTTTACTTTCCATTCACAATAAAATAAATTTTACTCTATTAAATACTTTCTGATTAACATTTATTATAATGTGTTATTTAGAAGTTAATAAGCTAAATGATCATTTTAAATGAACAGTACAGTTTGTTTTTATAGATTTTTTTTCATTATATATATTTATTTCCAGGCAGTATTTCTCTGAATCATAAGTTTTTATTGTTGTTTTTTTTTGCTACAGTATCTTACAGCAAGAAGACAAATTATTCTAATAAGCCTATATACTTTCTGATTGACCTTAATTGTTTATGTATTTAGAAGTTAATAAGTTGGATGATTATTCTATCATTATTATTATATTATTATTATTATTATTATTATTATTATTATTATTATTATTTTATTTTTTAAAATTATTTTTTAAATTATTTTATTTACTTTTTTTATTTTTATTTTTTTTCATTATTATGTATATTTATTTATTTTGTATAATTTGTTTTAATAGATATTTTTTGATTTTATGTATAAATTGCCGACAGTATTTCTCTAAATAATAAGTATTTATTGCTGTGTTTTTGTTATCTTACAGCAAGAAGACAAGCGACACACAGTGCACCTTGTTTGCTTACAACAAACAAGCAGCACCAAATCACACAGTTTTACAGCGCCAATTCCATCCACCCTTCCTCACTCCGCTACAGGACACAGTAGCAGCAGTAATACTAGTGGTGGTGTAAACGATTCTCAAAATAATTCTGATGGACTACGACAAAGGCATGGAGCTAACTCATCGTTTAACCCATACTATGCATACAATAAGTAAGTTCTGAATTTGGAGTCAAAATTATTAAAATCAAATACTGCCAAGTTAATTATGCTTTTTACATTGTGGTAGGCAAACAAAATTGATGATATTAGTAATTTAATTTATTGGCCAGGTGGCGAGTTATAAATTTTCCATATTGTGGTTAAGCTATAATGTTTCATTAAGCATATGGCAAGCTATGCATTACAGTTGTTGTGCGGAAAGTTTTTTTTTAAGCTTGTTAATGTTGGCTTAAGAATTGATTGTATGGAAAGGTACAGAATTCACTAAGTTGACCTATGTGGCAAGATACAGTTCATTGGTTGTGGAAGCTACGGCAGTGTCCCAAGTCACAGTCTTCGTTACTCTTGTGAGCAAAAAAAAAAAAACATCTGGCAAACACAACCATTTCCCACAAATTTAGAATACGTTTCACTACTGTATTAATTTTCTTCCTGGCCATGTTTATCACTAGGCGCAACAAAATACAATGGGTTGTCCGGAGTATCACATTTTTTTTTGACAAGAACATGTGATATGCCTAAATATGGTCATGATGACATCACATCGTGACCATATATAGGCATATCGTGACTATATATGGGCATACAACAGTTCTTTTTGTCAGAGAAAATTTGATAGTCTGGACAGAGCTTTAAAAAAGGACAACAAACCATATGATTTTAAAAGTAGCTTCTCCTATCTCAGGACCCTTGTTACAGGATACACTGCATGACCTTGTTGCAAAGATGTACAGTACATTGGCTGTGTGACAAGTTACAATTTGGCTATGTGGCAAGTTACAAATTGGCCATGTAGCATTTTATATATTGACCCATTACATGTTTAAAAAAAAAAATCAAATTACATTTACTTGACTCTAGTTACGGAGGATACCAGATGCAATATGGCGGCAATATTCCATCATCATCATATTACCAAGCATATTGGATGCAACAGTATTATGCCCAGCAAATGGCCCAGTATGCCCAATAGTAAGTCACCCATCCGTTTAATTAAGAGAGGGATTTGCTTCCATAGGCAATGATATAATGATTCTGATTGATATTATTTATCTATATAGCTCATTATCAAGGCCTTCAGTCGAACTTTTAATTAAATAAATTAAATTGTCATGTACCGTAATTGAAATTTAATTTTAAAATCATAACATTGTCCAACATACAGTGTATACTCTATTATAGATTTATTCTCTAAAATAAAAAAATAAAAAATATTTATAATAAAGTTCATTGGTTGTTTTACAAGATAGATTGGCCAACAGAATGTTGAACTATACTCTATTCAGTGAAAAAATCAATACAAAACAAATTTATGTTTTGTTATCTTGGTTAAAATAATTTTAAAAACAGCTTATTTTATTAAACTACGTAATGTATTTTTACATTGCAGTTCTAATCAGCAGCTGACAACCCCAAATCCGCTAAATGCTAACGTGAATCCCCCTCCAGTCGTCAACCTCGCAGCTCAACCAGTAGCCAATGTAAACATCGCTAACAATGCTCAACCTAACCAGAACAATGTACGCATGAATGCCGGCGTCGGCCCGGCTATCGATGATGATGACGATGATCAAGGGAACCGTGATTGGCTGGATTGGAGCTACATGTTCTTCCGTGCAACTGTTCTTATATCGATTGTTTACTTTTATTCCTCAATGAATCGGTTCATGATCGTTATTGGATTTATAGCGTTCTTTTATATGTAAGTATTTAAAAAAGTTAATCCTTAATAAAATCATGTACTACTGATCATTTCTTGTACTTCTAATATAGTAGGAGTAGTAGTAGTAGCCCTGTAGTTAAAATGTTTGCCTTCCAGTCCACCAAAGTTCTTCGTTCAGTTCTGCAAAATTCTAAATTTTTGTCAGTTCTCACAAGTCTTGTAATGTAACTTTGATTATGATTGGAAACATGTAAAGTCATACAATTTATTTTGATTTGATTTGTTTGATCAAATCAAGTTAGTCAAGGCAGATGAAAATCTGGGCTTAAGAATAAGCTTAATAAATCTTGTAACACTGTTTGTTGTCAGGTATCGACAAAGACAACTGAGTCGTCAAAGGCAATTGGCAGCCGAGGAGGTAGCAGTGGCAGCGGAAGAAGAAAGACCAGCAGATCAGGTAGACGGCCAACAACAGCAGCAACAAGAATCCGATAATCTGTCAGCCAATCAACAGGTAATACTTAACATAGCAATTAGATGTCACACATACAGTTTGAGACCACTTTAGGACCTGAAATTTGGAGTGGTCTCGGTATCCACTTTAAGGGTTATCTGTGTGTTAAAAGATTGATGATTGTTATTTGGTTCTTTGAAAAAGTGGTCTTGGAATTAGAGTGTCTTAAATTGGAAAGTGCACTGTATTCATCGTGTATTTTGACTTTCATAATAATCTACATATAAAGCAACAAGAATGTGAATTCACTTTACTCAACTTAATCCTCAAATACTAAAGATAAATTATATTATTATTTGGTTATTATATTATTTGGTTTAGATGTAATTTAGAAGTTAAGATGCTTGCCTTGCCTTCAAAAACTGATATTTAAATAATTCTTTTATACATAAATTCCATCCCGTCAGTGGAAAGTCATTTGCTATTGGATGAAATAAGCTATTAGTATATAGTTGTATTCCATACACTAAAGGAAAATTAGTACATGAATGGGGATCAATGCACAGAAAACTTGCCTCAAAATAGCCAAACTGCACAAACATACTATTATGACATGGCTGGTGATAGGAAAATTACATTAGAGGTTAATTGATGAAATTATGCTGTTATTGTTTGCAGGAAGGACAGCAAGGCGAGGGGAGTAATATGGAGACGCAGGAAAATTCTGAAGGGGATGCAACTACAGCGCCCTCACCACCAGGACCTGGCGTTTTTTCCACCGCATGGATTTTCTTCAGCAGTTTCTTTACATCGTTGATACCACATGAGCCACCTGCCGCTAATGTAAATTAAAACAAACTGAAATGTATTGAAGACATAGATTAAATGGGCTCACTATTAAAACTTGTATATGGTGTCTGTTTTACTCCACAAAGCACTACAGTAAAAAAAAAAATATTTTTAGTGAAATAACAAAATCTATAGGTTGAAATTACAGTTTTATAACTAACATTCCGAGGGATGGAAGGAAACAAATTTTTAGTTGTGCAGTATAAGTCTGTAAACTACATTAAAAAAAACATTATAAAATTATGATTTTATAGTTTGACTACCATATCTAAATAGAAGAACTACCTGGTATAATTAGATTCTTTATACAGAGGCATGCTATGCTGATCTTTCTCGACCAAAGTTATGATGAAATAATATTTATGATGAAATAATATTAGTGATCGTTATTATTCCAAACTAAGAGTTTAGTATTTGCTAGAATTGTCCAATTTTTATGGGGTTTTTTAAAAAATGTAACATCCATGAAAGGAATTATTAAGATTTTGATAGCAAATACTTTAGGGTATACAGTATGTTTTTTTTTTTTTTAATCCTGCACTGCAGTGGTGCAATTTTTGTAAACAGAAAAATTTCTTACTAGCATATCATACTTGAAGCAACAGACATGGGAAATTTCATATTTTCGTTTAATAATTTTTAGGTGTCTTACGATGTAATTGATAATATATATGTATGGTGTATCTGTTGGCAAGTTCCTTTTTTTTTAAATTAATTTTATAAGGATTTTACAAAGGTTTATTAAGCATGATTAATGCCTTTGAATTCTAAATTACTGTTAATTTATACAAAGGAGGTTTTGCCATGCATTATTCAGACATTTTTCTTGTAGAAAAAGTGGTGCGGCATCATTGTTCTGTGCATATATTGGTTGATTAGACTATGTTAGCCTGGAGGCAACCAACTAACCAGTGGTTTTACCCCCAAAACCATATTTTTACACATGGTGTACTAACAGTTTAATGATTTTGGTATGTTAACTGTCGTGATACATACTTGTACCAACTGTTCTGTACATTTTACGAGAGCATATAGAAAGAAAAATATGTTATTTTTTATTAACTCTGTGAAATTTTTCACTACTACTGTATATGATATTTAATGACTTATAAAAAATGTTCAAATGTCTGTAACAAAACATGTTTTGAATCGCATGTTGGGGCGCCACAACCTAGTGTGATTTAACCTTTGTGCTTGTTCAAAACCATAAAGATATAGAAATAAGTTGGTCAAAATGCACCACACCTTTACAACTAGCAAAACCAGCATCGCAGCTCTAAAGAAACATGATCCGTACCTCTGTTATTAAACTATTAATATTCTGTATAAACAGTTTATGTATAATACGTAATATTTATATATTGTCATTCAAATATACAAAATCATGTTTTCATAATTAAATTTGTAGATGAGTTATGAAATCATTTATTTAATGTAGCGATATATTTCTCTTGTATTATAAACTGTACAGTTTCAATAATTATAATATAATATATTTTGTGTATTTTTTGCTTGCTCAATTGATTAAACTAATTTCTTGTACAAATTTAACTTAATCATATTGTTATATCAAGGAAGCTATGTTAACTTAGTGGTGGTTTGGAAGTGTCTTTTTTTAAATAGTTTTATTCATATTTCATAAACATATGAAACATCTTAAATTATTTTGTTCTTTCATTATTCTTTAAACAGAGGAAATTATTTTGAATAAAAACCTTCCTTGGACAGACATATAGCTGTTGGATCAAATTGTTTTATTTTCCTGGGTTTTTTTAAAACAAATTTTAGTATTGTCGACCAGGCTTTAAAGTATGTGGTTTTTTGTGAAATCTGCAAAGCCTTTATACATAAATCTTAAATTTTTTTGTAAATACTGTATAAACATGGACCATCAAGCGACTGGCGACTTAAAATCACACGGCAGAATGATGTTAATGGGGCGGATCCAGGTGTCCGATGGAAGGGGGCGGCCGATCAAGAGACAATTGTAACCCAGGACAGGGCAGGGAATAACCTCTGAGGCGTTTTGGGCGATTAATAATTAGTTTTTTTTTTAATTACTTCCCAAAGGTGGGGGGGGGGGGGTTCTAGGGGTAGAACCTCCCCCTTGAATCTTTCCCTGGATGTATGCAGTGAATAAAAAAATTGTGAAACAGGGAAAGCTGAGATGGTTACCTCTCTCCTTCATCATACGTGCTAAAGAACATTGAGTATCATATGTACAGTACCAGACTGAGCCATGGTTATCTGCCAATCTGGTGTGTATTGACGGCATCATTTGGGGGGAAGCCTGGCTTAACACTCCATTAGACAAGTCGTGCCCCCACCAGTCAGAAATCGTCGTGCAGTCGGACCAAGAAAAGGCTTAATGAAATTAAATGCATATTTATTGCAACTCTACATTTAAAAGTATTGAATGACATTTCCTGCCATCCACAGGTCCCTCCCAAACCTTCCTTCATCTTCAGCCTTCCTATCTGACAGCTTATCCCACCAGAAAATACATCCTACAGCCCCACTGCTAGGGTGTAAACATTCTCTACTGTATCGATGGGTCTTGGGTCTCTGTTTTTGAGTGAGACACCCGGTATCTGTAGGCCTAATTGACAGTGTTAGTACGCATCCACATGAAAAAATTAAAGGGAAATCCATATCAGCTGAAGGCAGCCACTATGGAAGGTCCGGGAAATTTTTTAATTACCTATATAGACACCCAAATATGGAATGAAATACCAATGCACATTTGTGAACTTAAACATAGATACTCTTTTAAAATTACTACATTAAATGGTTGTAACTTCTGTCACAATTTGATTTTTATCTATGTCATGTTATTAGTATTAATGTAGTGTTTGTTTAAATTCATATATTACTGTACTTTGTTTTTTATAGGATTATGTACCCAATAGGCATGTAGTTGCCTCTTTTCAACCCAACTATATCTAAAAATGTATTTATCATCATTGTAAATGTAAAAAGAAAAAATATTTTGTTTTGGATAATAAAGAGTCATTATTTAAGATTGCTCAATGTTAGTGGTAGACTTGCCACAAGTCCCTTATTTTTTTCATTTTGGACAGCGCCACCAACGAACAAGTTAAGTTAGAGACGAAGTCCGAAAAAAAGAAATGGAAAGTATAGGACGCAATAAAGAGCGAGTAACCAAAAATTAGGGCCTGGAAACCAGGCAATGTTAATGTTAGTGGCATAAGAGTAAGGGTCCACATCCCCAAAAATAGCTTGCACCCCTCAGTTATTCCCGACTGTACTACCCTATACCTTAGTACCACTGTTTTGAATCTGTATAATTCAAATTTTATTGTTATTACTATTATAAGCTTTTTACTATTGATAAGACAGAGAAAAGACATTTATTTTTTGTCATTAACTTATCTGCTATTAATTTATTCATTCATGAATAATTATTTTCTACATATTCGACATAATAAATGAAAAAATAACATTCAACAACAATAATAATATACTAACATAATTCAATGAACTTAAATGATAATAATACTGATTATAATCAAACTTCTGATCACTGTCCGGATGCAAATGTTTATCTTACATTTACCCACATAATAAACGAAAAACTTTTTTATAAGAGTACTTTAGCAATTAATAAATTCAAACAATTACTGTTGCTATTTCAAAAAACATTTCACCAAATAATAAATAAAAAATGCTCAAATTTTATAAAAACCATAGCTTAATGATAAAATTCATACAATTCATCATCATTAGCCATTGTCAACTCAAGAGAGAATAAAGTTCTCTCCAAAATGACATCGACAGAATAAGTTTCTTTCTTTTCTTTGTTATTTATAATTAAAAAAACATGAAAGTTTCTACTTTGTACTTTGGTCTTCTAATGTAGGTCACAATCGGTGACCCAGAACTAGTAGTAGTCATGGATATGTTTAGTATGGTGAAAACATACAGTGGTGAATAGTGTAAATGTATAACAGTAAATGTTATGATGTGAGAAAAATGGCAAAGAAAGGTAGTGTGATGGTTCAAATATGTTCCTATACTAATTTCAGCACCCTTCGTAGATTTTTATAGTTTAGGTAAATCCTTGTGATCATAAAGCAATCATAGAAAATCACAGCGAGTCCCACTCACATTTCAGAATCACTGGTAAATATGTCCACACTTAAGCGACTTAGGCAAACCTCTTTCAAAAACATCAATATTTGTGTCTTTTGGAGAATTAGCAAGACAATTTTTAGACTATAAACATTATTTGACATTACTTGTATATGCAGAAGCACTCGGAAGAAGCCATGCATTTTCCTATGAGCATTGCTCCCTGTGTTTTTTTTGTCATGTGACTGTGTTTTTTTTTGTCATGTGACTGACAGCCAACGGGGTCTAGTACTGTGTTTTTTTTGTCATGTGACTGACAGCCAACGGTGTCTAGTAATGTGTTATTTCACCAGTGTGTCTTAGAGTAATTGGTCTATCAAGAAAGTGCTGCAATTTCATAATGCCCTTCTATATCATAATGTCCTTATATATAAAAAGTTATAAAAGTACTATAATTAAAGCTTAAATACATTTGATAAAAATTTAGTTAAATTCACTTATACAGTTTATGCTGAAAACCCTTTTAATTTAAAGGGGTTTTTCGGCATAAAATAAGCCCCATGCTTGATCTCCCGTCTCGACACGTCCCAACTTTTCTGCCCATCCATCTACAATATAGTTGTAGTCAGCTTCAGAAAAATCCTGTAAATATTTAAAGATGGTACAAATTATTTGGCTTAAAAATACTCTCAAAATAAAAATATTTATTGCATTGTAGTTAAGATTTTTATGTGTACAGTATATGAATACACAAATGGCAGTATTCCACATTTAATGTTATGTCATCCGAAAATAATTAATTGAATTGTTTTGACAGTGGATCTCTCCAAGTCAGAAGATTGTTGCATAAATAATAAATAAATAAGAAACATGAATTATTTTTACAGTGCTCTTCTAATTGAAAAATTTTTACTGGTAATTTTGTCCTTATAAAGTCCACTGATTGCGCAGCGTAAGGCTTTAACCATTATGGGGGGGGGGGAGTTTAATGATTTAAAAAAAAGATGACACATACCATCACAGCCTCACTGGGATGATGCTCATTTATTGGAAAAAGACCAGCCTAGGCTTACAGCCTGAGGGTTTTAATTACTAACACACAACTTTTACCAGGTGACTGTGTATTTTTACTGTTAAAATTGATGGCTAAACCGGCTTTGACAGAACACTGTTTAGTTTGCTTTACAAAACATTTTTTTTTCAATTTATAAAAAATAGGCATAGCATCTTGCCCCCTGGATAACATGACAACTTTCACGTCAAACATATCTCATGTAAAACATAATAAATTATACCCACATTTTAAACTATGTTTATTGAGTATGAAGCTTACCTTTATAAAATCTTGCTTGTTCGCCTCTGTCTGAGCTCGCTCTTGTTTTAGAATACTAGCAAACTGTTTGGATCGATCTTCAGCTTTAACATTAACAAATCCATCTTCTTCCAACATCTATAGGAAAGTAAGAAAGCTGAAGTTATGACCATTAAAATTTTAAATGCATGTACATTTGATTAACTCTGCCAATGCCGGTCCCAAGCCCCAATGAAAAAAGAGGAGGGTTGGGCGAGGGGCTAGCTACCCCTCACTGTAAAAAGAGCTTATGCTACAGAAACGTCGATGAAAAAAACTAGAGAACCTATCCTGGAAGAGGAAGGATCCTTGTCCCGAAGAATTATGGCGCCATGCTGTGAAAGCCGGGATCCGGAAGCTGTCTGGCAGAATTCCCTTCTCTCAACCAAGAACCTTATTACCATTGGTACATGGAACGTGAGGACTATGTACCAAGCGGGTAAAACAGAGCAAGTAGTGGTGGAAATGTTTAACTACAGCCTCTCATTGCTAGGAATTAGCGAAACAAGATGGACGCAGTCCGGACAGATGAATTTGATGAATGGAGAACTACTACTTTATTCAGGACATGAACAGGACAATGTCCCACATACTGAAGGGGTTGCAATCATATTATCCAAGGAGGCTAAAAGGACATTGACTGGATGGGAAGCACATGGATCTAGAATTATTAGTGCAGTTTTCAGAACACAAGAGAAAAAGATCAAGTTTAATATCATCCAATGCTACGCCCCAACAAATGAAAGCGAGGAGAAGTTAAAGAAGAGTTTTATGGAAGATTACAGAGTATCCTGGACAATTGCTCAGAGAAGGATGTCCTTTTCCTCATGGGAGATTTCAATGCAAAGATTGGAAAGATCAACACTGGGTATGAAGGAATAATGGGAAGGCAAGGAATTGGGGAAGTGAATGAAAATGGAGAAAAGTTTTTAGACACCTGTGCACTTAATAACTTGGTAATAGGAGGAAGTATTTTCCAACACAAGAGGATCCACAAAGCGACCTGGATATCGCCCGACCACATTACGGAAAACCAAATAGACCATATATGTATTACAAAGAAATTCAGAAAATCACTACAGGATGTGCAAGTTTCTAGAGGAGCAGATATATCATCAGACCACCATCTACTGATCGCAAAAATAAGGCTTAAACTGAAAAACTGTAGAGAGCGGAAGGTGAATAGGAAAACATACAATGTAGGGATTCTGAAAGATATAGAGGTGAGACAGCAGATTGGATTGAACCTTTACAACTGGTTTCAAATACTACAGGACCTACATATAGAGGAAAATTCTTTTGAGGAATAGTGGCACAATATTAAAGAGACACTCACTTCAACTTGAAATAACTCTATGACACCACTAAAAAGTTGATAGGAAAATACAGTAAATCCGAACGGCCTGTGAAAGATAAACATGGAAACACTATAATGGAGAAAAGAAAACAGTTAGACAGATGGGCAGAGCATTTCGAAGAACTACTTAATAAACCACCCCCTACAAACCTCCCAATTATAGAACCAACAGAAACAGACTGGTCATTAACTGTGATAGACCCAGTAAACAGGAGATCAAGAAGGCAATATTACAACAAAAAAACGGGAAATCTACAGGACTGGATGGTATTGCTGCGGAAGCACTCAAGGCAAACCCTGACACTACTGTGGAGCTAATATATCCACTATTTGGTAGGATTTGGGAAGAAGAGGAAGTTCCCCTAGACTGGAAAGAGGGCTATATTATCAAGCTTCCCAAAAAGGGAGACCTGAGCAACTGTTCCGACTACAGAGGAATAACCCTCGTCAGTGCCAGGAAAAGTCTTTAACAGACTTATCCTAGAAAGATGCAATAGACCCTCAGCTAAGAGAGCAACAAGCAGGTTTCCGTAAGAACAGGTCGTGTGCTGACCAGATTACAACCCTCCGTATTATAGTGGAACAATCCTTGGAATGGAACTCGCCAGTATACATACACTTTATAGACTACGAAAAAGCTTTCGACAGTTTAAACAGGGAGACACTTTGGAAATTATTAGAAACATTATGGGGTGCCCACAAATATCGTAAACATAATTAGGAACAGCTATGACGGCTGGAGCTGCAGTGTGATGCATGAAGGAATGGTAACCAGGAAATTTGAAGTCAAGACGAGAGTCAGGCAAGGTTGCCTGCTGTCCCCATTCCTCTTTCTCCTAGTCATTGATTGGATCATGAAAACATCTGCAGATCCGAGGAGAAATGGGCTCCAGTGGACCTTGTGGAAACAACTTGACGACTGGACTTTACGGACGATTTGGCACTCTTGTCCAATAACGGATACCAGATGCAAGATAAGACCTCAACCATTGCAGATATGTCTTGTTCAGTGGGCCTCAACATCCATAAGGGAAAAACAAAAATTATGAAAATAAATACATCCAGTAATGCACCGGTCACTCTGCAAGGACATACGTTAGAAGTTGAGTCCTTTACATACCTTGAAAGTATTATCAATAAGCATGGTGGCTCAGATGCGGATGTCAGAGCAACGATTGGAAAAGCTAGAACAACACTCCTACAGCTAACATATGGAACTCAAAGGTTTTATCACAAAAAACAAAAATAAGATTGTTCAACTCAAATGTTAAATCAATTCTACTTTATGGAGCCGAATCATGGAGAACGACTAAGGAAATCATTAATAAAATTCAGACGTTCATCAACAACTGTCTAAGAAAAATTTTTAAAATACATTGGCCCGAGAAAATCAGTAATGTGGATTTATGGGATAGAAAAAACAACATCAAGTAAAAAACGATATGGTCATGGGTTGGACACACCTTAAGAAAACCTACATCCAGCATCACCAGACAGGCTCTTACATGGAACCCGCAAGGTAAACGGAGCAGAGCACTTCCAAAAAACACCTGCCGAAGAGACCTACGAGCAGACATCAGGAGGACGGGCTATACCTGGAGAGAACTGGAGGTGAAAGCCAAGGAGAGAGGACTCTGGAGAGAAATCATCGACGTCCTCTACCCCTTGGGGTGATGGGCTTAAGTAAGTAAGTACATTTGATTGGAGACAAATATTCTGTCAGTTGGACTACCTACCTTGCCGTACCGTTGTACTGTATACAAAACGTAACCCCGCTGAGCAACATACGACTTGAATTTCTCGGAATGCTCACAATCGCCATGGCAGTAATCGGATATTAACAGCTTACCACCAGGTTTCAACCACCTCTGTAAGATTGCGATGCCCAAATATTATTATAGTATATGATAAAAATAATTCATGAAAAAATTCTAAATCCCCTTACCCCTTCCCCTACACTGTGTACTTTGTAAATGACAGTTGTATGAAGTCTGTGCACTAAAAGCTTTTCAAATCATTACCAAAAACTTCTTGAAAACTGCAGGTTTGTCAGCTATATGAAGCAACGTATCTCTGCTGTAAACAACGTCAAAACTCTCCGATCCAAACTCCACCGTTGTGACATCACATATTTGGAACTGGACCTGTAAGTGTAAAGCAAGTGACAATTTGGGCAAATAAATGCACAAATTTAATTCACAGCTATCATAAAAAGCAGGAGTTAAAAATGTCACCTAATGTGACATTTTCATAGCGGTAATGATCATAATCCATGGAGGCCAAAGAAATCTGAAACAACGAGTGACCTACGACCTTGGTCAGGGTCCTGGAATAAAAACCCCTGTTGGGATTTATGAGGAGGGATTTTATGGTTTAGGATGACCCAAAATTGTACATTTATGGATTGACAATCATAATAAATTTGTTTGGTTCAGCAAATTAATATTTTTAGTCAGACAACCTCATTGTAGTGTCGGACGACAGGGGCTCATGCTCGTCTGACAGGGAAAATAACTCCCTTGAAACCCCACTGGTATTGCACACTGATAAGAATATTAGAGTGCTCTCTAAATAAATTGATTTTCAAAACTAGTATTTTTTCCACCTTTACGTAAAATTTCTTACCTTAGTGTCTGCAGGCGATCGCTCCATGGCAATCTCAACCATGTTAGCTGATAAATCTATACCAAGGACAGCGGCGCCATACTTCTATCAGAAATATATTATATAATATTAATTATTATTTAAATATACCATAACTTTCCTTATTTTGAGTTACTGACTGTATTACATAATTTAATCTCAATTTTTTTATTAAGCTCTATAGACTGAAATTTGCCAAATGCTTAATTTTTTTTTTAACAAAACAAAATTGGTTAAAAAACATGGGTTATTTACCCCATTTCATCACTCATCATGGAAATTTAGTTCCACTGTGTATTTTTAGTTCCATTCGTGCATTTTCTTTCCATTTGTTTTTGCCCACTTCATCAGGCCTAGTATACGATAAACGATCAACCTAATACAATCTTTTGATTGGTTAAAGGGACACTGGACTTTTCTATTTAGAAAAAGGGTAGATTTTTTCATAAAATATCAAATGACAAGAATCTCCATTCAGAAAGAAGGTAAACTTTTTTCATAAAACATCAAATGACAAAAATCTATTTTAGGTGTGTTATAAAACAAACAATTAAATTTTTTATTTGCGCAATGGAAAGAATATTTTTATTCGTTGAAAGATTGACTGTTCAATTCAACTTAGCTCCACCTTGTCAAATGAAACAGTCAATCTTTCAACTCATGAAAATATTCTTCCCATTGCGTTAATAAACATTTATTATTTGTATAACAATAGCTATAGTAGCTATCGCAAGATTAGGAGCTTATTACAGGTTTTATGTTTTTTATGGTATAAGATATATCACCTGTTCTATGTAAAAATCCCCTCCACCAATTCCTGAGCCAACATCCAATACTTTCTGACCGGGTTTTAAATCCAACATGGCAACAAACTCCTAAGAAGGTAAATATAAGTAAAATACATTAACATTCAACTGCAGTGTGGAGCTGTAAATTTGAGGTCATAAAACAGCACAAGGAAAGTTCAGGCTGGTGATGTAACATTGATATTTTATATATACCCAAATGAAAAATCTCCATTATTTTTTGTGGGTAAGTTCTTTTAGAAATCTGGCTTATATATAGATTCATCCAGAACTGTAATTACTCATAAAATTCAATATATATTATGGTAGGTCAATCATGGTGTCATCATTTTTATAATCAATGTTATTCTTTATACATTAATGATTCTTTATACAAAATTTCCCATTTAGTGTATAGAATATGACTATACTAATTGCTTATTCATTATTGCTATCAGTTTTATCTCACCTCAGTAGTGTCTTTTCCACCTGTACTGACAAAACCAGGTCCAAAAATCCTCTCATACCTTAAGATACCATTCTGAGTGTACTGTTGGTTGTCTAGAAACTGCTGGAAAGTATTGTAACCATGTTGACTACTGGTAGCTGTTCTGAAAGCTTTCTCCAATAACCAGACACATTGATGATGGTTCTTCTTTAACTAAAATATAATTATTTAATTACAAATGTTTAATAATTAAAATAAAATAAAATGTATTATTCAATCAATAACAGATTATATATACAATTGATTAATTTTTACCCAAAAAAAATCTATTCATAAAAAATATATTTTTTAAAAGCTGAATACCTCAATATAGCTTTTCACATTCCTACAGTAAAGGATATCTAAACCATGTGGTGGAGTTCCTGTCTTCGCAAGTTGAAACATAGCACAGTAGACCGACGGTGTACGGTAGTTGGTGGGGTTGAAATCTCGCTTTTTGTCGCCTGTTATTTGTAAAATAAACTGATTTTCTTTTATCCAATCAAAAACAAGGATACAGCAACCCTATATTGTATTTTATTATTAATATTTTTATTTTTGTAATGTCTTTTTACATATTATTAATACAGTACATATATTATTATTACAGTGAGGATTTGTACCTGATTTTCTAAAACAAGATTCCCTGAAAAAAACATTGCCTCCTGGTTTTGTCCACTTAACTATTTTGATTAGAAGGTCATTCACTTCATCATCACTGAGGTACATTAGCAACCAATTACTGAAAACAACATCAAAGCTAAAAAAAGAAGAGAATGCATGGTAAAAAATTTAATGTAGGAAAATGTAGGTAGTAATGTAATGTAGTGCTTTATATGAAGTCTCAAAGCACTTAGTGTGGACTAGCTTGTATGATCACTTGCTCCTTACCTAAGAGTTTCTTTGTGTCTCAGCTACCCATGGGTACCAGATATCTCTTTTCTGTGCACAACGGGGGGTTGTACATAGTAGTTACCCCCCAACTTGCCTCGAAAGATGTACTGGGTTCATTTATGTACACATGAGCCAAATTTTGTACCTTGGGCCTACGGTTTATAGTCCTTATCCGAAAGGACTTGTTCCACCACTCGAACCATAGGCAAACGTGGAGTTCGAACCAGCAATGATATTATGGTCATTGTACTCGCCACAGGGGCACATTATGAAAACAGAACCCTGCGGGTGGGTATGTTCCTTTGTGCGCAAAAAATAATCGCAAATTTGCAAAACTGCGATAACTAATAGTTTGTATGTTTTGAATAACAATTGTGTAAAGTATTATTACTTTAGGAGGAGCACATTACAAAAAAATATTGGCAATGCTAGTAAAGGGAATTTAGGTGAATATAAGTTATTTCGAACCATACCTTTCTGGTTCAAAATCCTGACTGGTAACATCTGCTGTGAGAAACGTGATGTTTTTCATATGACCATTTATTTCTTTGTTCTTGAGGACAAACGATTCCATAAAATCTAGGCTTGTCACATGATTAGCATCCAAAGCCAGCTTACCAGTAAACCTCCTGTTTAAAAAATAAAAAATGGAAGAAATTAATAAAACTAATCTGTAATAATTAAAGCCCCTTTCCCAGCAAAATTTCACTAAAAAAGTATAATTATTATAAACCATGGAAAAATATTGGCCATTGGCGTAGTTTTACGCCAAAGGATTGAAAAAAATGAGAAATAGAGACTATTTCTCATAGGAGATTACCATTTTCTCCACGAATTCTTTGTTACTAGGCAAATTCAGAGGTTGAATATCGCATTCGCTGGAATGCTCTCCCTTTTTTGTATACTTTATAAAGTGCTCCCTCACTAATGAGATTAGTTTTTGTACATTACACCTCGCAAGCTGCGGTCGATCGAGTAGGCCAGAGATATGTTTGTTTAATTGTCAAAATCTCGGTGAGAATCTTCACCAAATTTGAAATAATTCCAATGAAATATTATATTTCACAAGTGTCAATACAACAATGGAAATATCATGTCAGCCGTTTTTATTTCTGATAAAAGAACCTAAATTGAGGTAAGGCTACTGAAATTTTGCCGGAAATGGGGCTTTAACAATCAATCAATCTGCACTAATACAAAGATGACAAAGTGGTGCTAATTACTCAAAGCTCAAAAGTATGGGTGGGGTGATTGGATGAATGGTTCTAATATTTTCGAGGGGTGTTCTGGAAGAGAACAATGGAAAAGGTCTGCTTATTCAGGGAGTTGGTTTATTAAAGCATGGACAAAGTATATCAAAACAAGCATCCACAACAAAGACAATCACAAATCAAATATCCAACAGTGATAAAAATATATAAATAAAGCATTAACCAATAAACTGATTTCACATAATATCACTTTGAAATTAATGGTCATATGTTTGTTTACACTTTACACATACACACACACACACCCACATGTCTATACGGCAAACATATACAAGTTTTTTTATCATTGTGTCCTTGACCTTTGACACTATGACCCTTCAGAATTTAGTCACTTCCACATCTTTGGTAAAGACATTGTGGTCATATTTAACAAATTTCTAATAAAAACTGTTTCAAAAATTCTTTTTCTGTTGATTATGACTTTACCTTTAATCCTTACCCTTCAACATTCAAATACTTTGAGATCTTTGGTCAAGTTTGACAAGTTTGTGATTAAAACTATGGGCTGTAGACAAATTAATAAAAAAATAGTTTGTTGATTGTGACCTTGACCTTTGACCTTCAAAGTTTAATCAGCTTTAGATCTTAGGTAAAGCATGGGTAAAGGAACATTGTAGACAAGTTTGATGAATTTCTGATAAAAGCTATGGGCTCTAGGCTGTTCACAACAGATAAGTAAGTAAATGAATAAACGGGCAAAAACATAACCTCCTGCCAACTTCATTGGCAGAAGTAAAAAAAACATTTACAATTACATGTTTTATCATGATTTATACAAATTTTCTATAATTCCAGATGGAATACAATAAAGAAAAATATACACATTATTGTATTTATATGGATAATTGTAACACAATCAAAATGTAAAAAATAAAATGTATTTATATATATTTAATGTAGAAATATACACTGGCCACCTAGGGTAGTGTTGTCTCTCAATTGGCCCTCCTTTCGACCTCCCTTTCAGACATCTATGGATGCGCCCCAGCAAAGTTGGTGCGGGGGACTTGATGATTAAATGAGGGGGACTTGATTAAATGAGGGGGTGCCAGGTTGCAAAATAAGGTGATATGAGGTGATTTTTAACTACTTGAGCATGATTAGTTTGCTTCAGACCTTTTCAATGGTCACGTGGGTGAATGGGGAGGGGACAAGCTTTTTTGGGGAATCCCCCTGCCCACCACTAGATATGCCACTGGAAATACATTTATACAGTTTTGTACTTACCCAATTCCACTTCCTAATTCCAGGACATTTTTCCCTTTAACATCACACATCAGATTAAGTATCTCAATTTCTTCAACCTGACTGATCTGTTTAGCTTGCGAGTCCAGAAACATCTCCTCCACAGACGCCTCTTGGGAATGCTGCTGCCAAAATGCAGACATTTCTTCTCTGGTTCCATCTCCCTCTATTAATCAAACATTTTTTTAAACACTCAACTGTTTATTTTATTCTTATCTCATCAGTATAAATAAAAATCAGGAATTTGGGAAAATTATTCTAACTGTTGGATGCCATCGGCATTGTTGAGCCAGATGCTGCCCTCGGAGCTACCGAGTACCTCGGCATCTAACCGTTTACTTGGGGGAGAGGCAAGATTCAATGTTCTTCAATGAACAATGATACAACTAACTGATTGCTTCGGACAGGGATCCAGCAGATTTCACACTTGGTTAGTCATATTTTGTCTGCTTTGGCCATATCCCCTGTGCCTGCGTGTCGGACGGAGGGGTCCAAACCAAGGCGATGACGGAGCCTCGGTCAACGGCTCGAAATAAAAAATCAATTTTAGGGTTCATGGGAAGAGTTTTTATGGCTTAATTTGGTCCTAATTTGGTCCTAATTTGCAAATAGCGTTATTTGGATAGGCAAATTTAATGATATTTTAAAATTATTTTTGGTCCGACAACCTAGTCGCTCTTCAGATACCAGGGGGTTCAGGCCTGTCCAAATCAGTTTGGCCGGAAAAATGAACATTGTAAGATTTGCCAACAAATTTAATTGCTCCCATCATGTCTGTCTGTCATTTCAAGGCCACTGGCCACTTAAAAACAATGCATTTAACATTTTTACATTGTACTAAATACACTAAGCATTTAAAAAAAAAAATGGATGCAGCATTACCTGTTACTGTGTGTTGTGATACATTATAATATCTCCGGTTTGTTGTCGGAAAAATATTTATTAGAAGAAATTGGTTTTACTAAAAATATAAGAACGGTCATGCAGCAGCTTGAGTCAATTTCGTTATCTCGTTCGAGAATCAGTTCACCGAGTAAAATTTCTCTTTCCCGACCAAAACAAACCAACCCAAGCAGACTCTATCTGTAGTCGCATGCAGTCTGCCAATTCAGTCACAACCAACCGCTGATTATGTGACTGGAACCAAGGAGATGTAAACAATTATTTTTTACATCTCCCTGCTGGAACCGACCTCAATCGTAGTTAGTCTGCCACGTTGCTAAATGATATACAGTATTTAACTCGTATTTGTCGTTAATTAAGTACCATGTTCTTGGCTTACGGAGGCGGTTAATGTACAGTATGATGAGTAGGCCTAGGCTTTTTCCCCTTGGCCGACAAAGATAGGACTCCTGCACCCATAACCAGAGAGTTCCTATACTTAATTAAGAAAAGAATAAGCTTACTATTGTCACACACTGCCATGGTAAACCTTGATCGCTTTGTGGTCAGTCTGAGTGCTCAACTAAACCCCAGTTAAAGCATTATGGTTATGAAATGATTACACATCTGTACTGTATCAGTGTAGTATGTCACATGTTCATCATACGATGGCCAACAAGGGACACACTACAAACCAAAAGAAATGTTGCAAACAAAAGTAGTGGACCTTGACATTAATCAACAGTACAAACACAATACAGTAACATGTTTTAGAGGCGTGCTGCTATGCTAGCCGAAAGGTCCACTGATTACGGAAGCTTAAAGTGGAATTTTTGGAATTCGTCTTTCCAAGATACGTTATCTTGGAATTCCGTCTTTCTAAAAGACATACTTCGAATTCCGTCTTTCCAAGATCAATTATCTCGGAAAGATTTCTTTCCAAGATAAATTATTTCGGAGTGTCGTCTTTCCGGGAAAATTATCGTCTTAATAAGTGTTTATTCCATGTTTCCAAGATAATTATTTTGGAAACTCGGAAGGTCACTTTAAGCTTCCGTAATTGATTAATCTTGGAAAATAGTGTACAGGCCTAATACATACTCCAAATATCGTATCGATGCACGCCATCGTGTCGTGATTTAATATTTCGACAATAATTATGTCATCATCAGGAATAAGGATACCGGGCCTATTGTTCATTCCGGTCCTACTAAAGTTTGCATATCTCTAGCAAGGAATAAAAGGCTGTGGGAGTTTCTCGGATATTATATAGGATAGGCCTATTCTTTATTTGGAAACTACGAAAGTGGCACTCGTACGTATCGGTGCGTCCAAAGAAAATAAACGACATGCATAATGTTTAAAAAAACTCCCTATTCAACCAATGCACTGAGACAAAAACCGATCACATTTTTTAGACTGCATACCCTGAACTACCATGAGGCCCACCCTAATTTTCATTTACCAACCGTCTCGCATCGTGCGGGGGACGGTCATTTTTAAGTGATTTTGGATGAAACACGCATTTTGCAGGGTACTGGATATTTCGCCGAATGCCAGTTTGCCGACGGACGTTTGGCCGACAGGTAGTAGTTGACCGAAAGAAAATTCACCGACACCCGGAATTCGCCGAAATCGAATTCGCAGACTGGACGATTCGCCGACAGCCAATTTGCCGACAACCAATTCGTCGACAGACATTTCACCGACAACCAATTCGCCGACAGACTTTTCGCTGACAATTTATTTTTGTGATGTGATTGATGATTCTTCGTCATACAAGGACATTTTGCCGAATGCCAGTTTGCCGACGGACGTTTGGCCGACAGACACTTGACAAAAAGAACATTCACCGACACCGGAATTCGCCGAAATCGAATTCACCGACTAGTTATTCATACATGCAGACACACTTTCAATATATTAATCATGCAACAAGATTCTGTCTTCAGGCCTATAATAAACACACGTTCATGTATATTTTTATTAAATATTACATAAGAAAATCCTAAGCGATTGTAATAACTAAACCAATATAAAGGGAATTTTTTTTAAATTGCTACAAATTGATATAAAAAGTATAAAAAAGACAGGATAGAAGATACCAGGTGTGAATTTACTGCAAATTTAAGGGAAAAATGAAATGTACACAATAAACTTACCCCACATTATTACGGCCCTTTCATTATTATAAAGGATAGTAATACGTTACTAGAATAGAATAATTATTTCACGATTTAAACAGTGGCCTACCGGTACTAATTCTTCTTATCATGGACTTTCAGCTCTATCACAGTATGGAAGTTTCAAATTCAATGCTCAAAACATAATTTAACATATTTGATATCTGTAAGCTGTGCACAACATTCGGTACTAGAAAGGTAACCGAAAAATAAGCATCTAATTATGTCACATCCATCTATTAACATGTTAAAAAAGTGTCAGCGACTTCGCTGTCGGCAAACTGGCTGTCGGCAAACCACCCAAAATGTGGTGTCGGGCAAAATCTCGTGTGGGCGAATGGTATTTCGGTCGATAGTCTATAGGCCAAATGTCTGTCGGTGAAACGTACGTCAGGCCACGAAAATTAATCTTCTAAATATGCCACCTGGTGGCACATACATCCATTAACATGTTCACATTTTCGGCTGTCGGTGTATCGTCCTGTCGGCAAACTGGCATTCGGTTAAATGGGCGGTCGATAGTCTGTATGTCGAATGTCTTTCGGCCAAATGTCTGTTGGTGAAACGTCCGGCCACGACAAAATGTCGGCGAATTGTCTGTCGGCAAATTGGCTGTCGGCGTATCGTCCTGTCGGCAAACTGGCATTCGGCGAAATGGTATTTCGGTCGATAGTCTGTCGGCCAAATGTCTGTCGGCCAAATGTCTGTCGGTGAAACGTCCGGCCACGATTTTGCAGAAACACGTAGGCCTACATGCGTGATCTTAAAGTTGTCGCGCGCGCATTTAGCACAAGGTCTATGCGTGATATAGTCCCGGATATATGCCGTACATGGTTTCTGAGGCTACCGAACCCAATGCCGTAGCCAGCTGTTGGGACAGTCCCACACAATTTTTCTAATGTACAGAAGGTCGATCAATATCATTTTGTAAAAGTTAAAAAAAAATATTTCTGATTGGCTCATCAGCAAAACGGAGCAACAGTACAGTTAAGGTCAGAGCTCGGCATGTCGTTGATATAGCCTACAGAAAACAATAAGGGGCCGAGCCGGCCTTGTGGCACACCAGATAAGACAGATTGCCAGTCAATAACAACGCGTTGTTTTCTATTGATGAGATAAGCATTGAAGCAGTTGAGAAGTTTTCCGTTAATTCCAAATGTATTAATTTTACGGATAAGGAGTTTATGTGAAACGCTATCAAATGATTTAGCATATCGATTTGTCCAGATCGGTCAAACTCGCTGCTAATGACGTAAAAAACGGATAAAAGTTAGTTAGGTGACAGTAGATTGCCCCTTGATAAAGCCATCTTGAAGGGAGTAAATTTTATCTTTAAGAACAGGGAACGTGATATTAAAAATTTCCCTTTCCATAATGTTGCTGCACGTGCAAAGCAATGTAATATCGTAGGTCTACAATTTCAGTAGCGGATCCGGGGGGGGGGGGTCTACAATTTCAGTAGGGG